GAGTAAACTACCGGGACCTCCGTTGTGCAATTCACCAATCAGGCCGCGACAGTCATCCCTCCAGCGTAAAGGTGTTAATTCGCCTCCAATTTTTGCCCTATTGGGTAGTTGCAGAGTTTGCGGTGTGCCCGCGATTTCCCTAAATCTCTCCAAATGACCACTGAGATCTGTTATAAGATGCTACCAGGCAGCAATATCTGCAGTCGGGCGTCATGCCAGACACAGCATTCAGCCGCTGTTTTGAGTCCGTCCATTAGGAGCACAGTTTCCTATCCCATTAAGATATTTCAGTTTTCAGTCATATTCCAGTTAAAAACACTTCAGTGGAGTAAGGTATGAGCTATTCATTCAAGTACTGGATTACCTCGAATTGATGTCGAGGTCGAGGGTGTGGATGGGCTGAATACTCTACTCAAGGAAGATTGTCATGATTGCTAACTGAGCCTAGATATTGCAAATGTGAAGAAATGAGGCTTGGATCGCACGCACTCAATTGATGGCGAGTGCAATTTGGTGTTCAATGGCATTCTAGCATATCGCCCGCCTTGTTGAAACGTTACTATTCAAGGAACAAAATGAATGAATGGCCACCTTCGCAACAAAGCGGGTGGACATAATGAGTAACAATGAAGTGAAAATGATGTATATTGTGCTAACATGAACAATGACACAGCCACAGCGAATGTATGTTAGACCAGGTATTGCATTGTTCGACGGCACTTTTCATTGTGGTTGAAAGAACAGCGCCTTTTTACCAATTAAGACGTTGTTCATGAACAAAGCTAAATCTACTGCTCTGTCTCCAATATAAATAAAGCGAGCCAACCTTCCCATCTTGAATTTCATCGTCGTTACGCAACACCATTTGCTATAGATTTCAGAAGCTCGACTTTCAATCCGCCATACACGCAGCTTAAGGGAAGACTTTGACTTACTCTCTCAGAAAAACCTGACAAGATGTCTGTAAATGGAAATGGCCTGGTTCCAGTCAACCAGCTTGGGCCGTACCCATCACCGCCACCGACACCTCCACCCACTCAGCCTCGGCCTCGGCCTGCCCGATGATTCCCCTTCAGAATGCATGCGATCCAGGATACTCATCAAATACGACCCAATTTGATTGAATCATGCGCATTTCTGATTGTGTCAGGCTCTTCCTTGTTTGGAAAGCGAATCTCACGTAGTTCGTGAAAATACAACCCTTATATCTTGATTCCAATAACATTTATCTATGCTTAAGGCGATATGAACACACATCAACATGTCCTTTGGCTAACCTTTTGTGAATGCAAAAAATGATATACGTACTTACAGTCAACGTCTATTACCTAACGAAGACTGATACTATAATTATCTCCTTCGTTAAGCTCTTGGCGTATCCCCAGAAACACCAGAATGCTACGTATCCTTGGTTCGCCACTGGAGAAAAGCCCAACACCATTGAATCGTGTGGATGAAAAGGAGTGAACCACCTCTGTTGGACGTCCTGTCCCGAAGTAGATGTTAGCCATGATCGATACCAGCAATTAATCGGTCCTCACGGATATTTCCTGCGCCACCAATACCGTAGCCTCTTAGACTTCTGTTCGCAGGTCGATTCTGGAAATCCCCATGTTCCTGCTGTAGCGGTTTGCTCGTATTTCTGTAGGGCAAATCACCCATACTGCTCCGTCGTCTTCTATGTTTAGACGACGTCGATGTACTTCCCACGGCTAATTCGATATTGGTAGAGCCATCCACTTTTCCCGGACTACTCACTGTAAGAGATCTATGAGCCCTCAGATTTGCAGTCGAGACAGTTCGAACTTTGGCCAGTCGCCCTTGTACCTAAACGTGGTGTTCGTTTTTTGTTGTAGGGATCAGCTGTGTAGTGTCCCTCTGTGATTCATCGAGAGAATCATCGTTGTCTTCATAACCTCCAATTGGCGAAAGTGAAGTTGCTAACATACTCGGTAGCTTGCTGGCCGGGCTGGCTGGCTCTCTTGTGAGAAGGACTTGACCTTGTCAAGTTAAAGAATGCGAAGACGACTTTCACATTGCTGTCAATAACAATCAACACCGGGATGCCTCGTGCCCGATATTTCTGCTGTGACAGAGTTCAATGCCTCGGCCATTCATCTCAATAGTTTGGGAAATCTGTTCTCGTGACCAGACGACGATCGTAGGAGAAAGATCAAGAGGCAAGTCATCGATTTTAGACCTTACAGGCAACCCCCACTATTCAGGGGAGGTTAATAGCCAAGATTTAAGGGAATACGATCTCATTAAACGCGCCGCTGCGGCGTGATGCTGGGGTCCAGGCCAGGGTAGGTTGCAGCTAGGCCCAGAAAGGCTGTGAGGACGATGACTTCAGAGGGGTTAGCGACCTCAATTATTGTCACTATCCCTGTAAGCCACAGTCCTTCCAGGCTTGGACCTTCCCAATTGCAAGCCCTTAATTCAGCAGTGCTGACTAGATATGGTCCATGTCAAATTAGATTATCAAGACGGGATGCGTTGGATATTTTCAGGATTTTCAGACGATCGATAGACCGTTTACTGTGGGCCATCGTTGATCAAGAGCTGCTACCAAGGGAGCATCATCATTCTTGTTAGTACGGCGGGTGGTGTTATCCGCTTCCGAAGCCGACATCGAAGTTATTAAACGCCCTACACCTGAATCAGGCCGCCTTGTATACCACCTCAAAGCGATGACCAGAGCCTCAAAAGCGCGTCGCGTATAAATACATAGAACTTGTCGTTATCTTAACTTGATAGCTAACCTACGCGATCATGGCGGCTAGACCCGGGTGTTATTCTGGGGCCGAAATGTATTGCCTCACCAGCCGATAACGGCTATCGATTGGAGCGGGGGCATGAAATGCCCTCACACCTTCATATGTTGAACATCTACTGCATATTCCTAGCTGCAACATTCCAATCACTCTACGCTATAGCCATATCCAATATATAAACGACCACAGTCGACCTAGCAGGGTAGACAGCGGATGCGAGATGGATATCATTATCTCTCTAGGCAGTTCCGGCAAAATCCGTGGCGCACGAGACAGTCATGGAGTCTGTCGCTTTCTAGGAATTCCATACGCACAACCGCCAACCGGGCAAAGAAGATGGCAGAAGCCTGTACTTTTGCAATCAGACTACAAATATGGCGTAAATGGCGAGCCCCGAGACTGCAGTAAGTTCGGGGATATTTGTGCTCAGGAAATTTATGTTATCGACGGGGAAGCCTTCAACAAGATTCCGGGAGCGAATGTAAGTCTCGTCGCGCCGCTGGAGCGCAAGTTTCGACACGCGGTTACTGACAGTAGCACTGACAGTATTCTGAAGACTGTCTTCTCGTCAATATTTGGACACCGGCGCAGAAACCAAATCCAGGCGAGAGCTGGCCAGTACTTGTGTTTATCCATGGAGGTTGGCTGCAAGTTGGAAACCCATCAGTGGGGGAAAAATTACACCCTGAAGAGCTTCTAGCCCCTGACGGAATTGGACTTAGAGCCATCGTGGTGTCGATTGGATACCGACTGAACATGTTTGGCTTCCTCGCAGGCGATGGTGTTGATGGCAATTTTGGCTTTTGGGTATCGTGTCTGTTACCTCAGCTCAGACTTCGTCATGCTAACAATACATTCAGGACCAACGAGCCGCTTTGCAATGGATTCAGGAGAGTATCCAGTATTTCGGTGGTGACCCATCTAGAGTAACGCTTTTCGGACACAGCGCTGGTGGCTTCTCTGCCCATACTCATCTACAGTATGAACTCCTTCACACAAATGGGGAGAAGCCACTGTTCAAGAACGTCTTTCTCTGCTCTAATGCTATTCCAGTGAGTAACAAGATTATGTAGTACCACAGCAGGGTTTGCTGACAAATCTATATGCTCAACCAAAAACACGAAACGAAGGTATGGATGTCCCCAAGAGGTATCAACGGCTAGTGGTGCTCACAAAATATGCTAGCAAATGTACAATTGCAAGATGTCTACGATGCCATTGGGATATCAAGTGAACTCAGCTCAGAGGAGAGACTTCAGGCTCTCAGGAATATCCCAGCTTCGGATCTAGTTGAAGTGCTGCCGAGACTGCAGATGTCCAACTTTAGAGCCGTAACGGATGACGACCTTATCCATGCCGATATGCAAACCCGTTTTGAAGATGGTACACTAGCAAAAGTCTTTCTGGACCGTGGATATCGCTTGATGACAGGGGAGACGGAAACCGAGGTATTGAATGACTCTGTGCGATCTAGAGTGTTTGGTGCTAAAATAACCTCTAGCAATTTCTTTACTCAAGGTGGCTTCCGCCTAAGACCGAAGAAGAGCTTCCAATCAAATTACAAAACTATTACGCCGCCGGTGTCGTAGAAAAGCTACTTGCTCACCCCGGATACCGTGGACAGGGAGTTGCCTCGTTCGGTCGTATCGTCTCCGATATGCAAGTTAGAGCTCCGGTGCGAATCTTTTGTCAGCAGCTTTTTGATATAGGCGTTCCATCAGAACGCATCTTGAGATATCGGGTTGCTTTTCGACCCGGATTCTTCGACCAGTTCTACCCGCCAGAGGCCGGCGTTGTAAGTGACAAGACATGACCTGAGACATATTCTGATAAAGCATGTTGTTAACCTTGTTAGACTCATGGTGCGGATCTGTACCTGTGGTGGGCGACAAAGCGGATCGGGTTTACTGACGAAGAGTGGGACTGTCTAAAGTCATGGCTGAGTGATACCTTGGTCAAGCTTGTGTATGGGGAGAAGTTCCAGTCTGGCATAGACGCACAAAAGTATCTTCTTTTCAGTTCAGATGGAAAAGTGGACATTGTTGAGGATAAATCGTGGGACCATTTGATGTCTGTCATGGATACAGTATCGAAATGACCACAATTCTAGGCAAGGTACCAAGCACGGAACGAGTAGAGATATAAGTGAAAGCTTCCTGAGCAGTTAGAATTACATTCAAAATTTAGTATTATTAGATGAATTATGAGTTAAGTTTGTCAAGTTTCTCAGATGTGATAGCTCTCAGGAGGGCCGAGGTACGACGGTCGAACACCACCGAGGTCAATCACGATCTTCTGTAAGACGACACCAGGCTCTAACGCCCAGAAGCGCAGGGTGTGAGCACCGGGAGAGATCGTTGTATTTGTAACGCTCTTCCACGCAGCGTCGGCAACGGCCTGGCCCCAACCTACGGGAGTAGCACCACCGGTCTGATCAGTGATGTATTTCACCTCTTTCGGAGTTGCATCATCAATTTGGATAGCGTAGCGTAGCGGCCTTGTTGGGTCAGCATTCAACCCAGTGCCGAGAATGGCCGTGATATTGGCTGGCGCCTTAGGCGTGCTGAAGGTGTAGAAGGGATACTCAAGAGCTGGCCCAGAAGAGGTGGTTTGAGAAGGTGCTGTCCCTGGCAAGAGGGAGACACCAGACAAGGTCTTACCGAAGCCAGGAATTGTCTTGTAGGTGGCCTCAGAGGACGATTTTGTGATGCTAGAGTAGTGCTCGGCCTCGATAGATATGTACCCATCAGACTCAACAAACCCCAATGAAAAGGAGCTGGGAAGAATGGTGTTATTGATAGGCAGGATAATGGACGGCATTGAAAACTGAGTACCATAATCATTGGAAGAGGTCACATTGATTGTGGCCAACGAACTTCCTGCCGGTGCTGCCTTCCAGTCTACGCTGACGTACACTCTGACATCCGGGTCTGTAGGTGCGAGAGTGCCGGTCGTTTCGGTGAATTTGAGGTAGCTCGGCGCTTGAATTGTCCAGGTCATGGAGTTTGTGCCGACTTGGAACACGTCAATATACCGTTTTGTTTGTGCATATGGATCGATAGGGATCATTGTGAGGCTGGCGCCATTGAGTGGATGCCAATAGTCATCGCCGGGCACTGAGGCATTCGTGCCTTCAGTGGAGATACCGAGATCACCACGCAGAGAGCGCTCAGACGTCATCACATATTGCACGGGCGGGGTGATTTGGCGCATAGGTTGTTGCCTATATCAGCAGTTAGACCGTGTGAAATGTACGATGAGGACGCTACATACCAATAAACGTAGCCAATATGGGTCTGGTCCATCATGTGTTCCCATTTTCCATTCAGGAGCGTGTTGTATCGGACAGTAAGCTCATGGTCGTCCTTGAAGCGAGACAACATGTGTTCGGCAATTGAGTTGGCACTATTGCGACCTTGATTTGCGAAGATGATGTTTCGTGCCGAGCTGATATGAACATCGTAGACTGCAGCGCCCCCGAGGACGGGATGCAGGATCAATTCAAAGAAAGCGGCCTGTGCTTCTGCAGAAAGGCTGTCATAGAGACTCTGCGCTTTCTTGGCCAAGTCATTCCACTCAGCAAGGACATGATCGGCTTCTTCGTAGTTGATCACGCTATAAATCGTTGGATCTACCAGCTCGAACTTCCTACGACCAGCGAGACGGGAGTACTTGTTCAGCACATCACTTATGTCTTTGGCAGCCTCGTCGCCAAACTCTCGAGCAGCCCAAAGTTTCATCCATTCCTCTGTGCTATCCACGGACCATCGTTCGAAATTGTAGGCTAGATCAAAGAAATGGCTGATCGGAATCTCCAGAGGCTTCAAATCTCCAACATTCACGACCCAAATTTGTCTAGCGTTCCGCTCATAAGCCAGATTCATCTGTTCCCAAGTGCGCTGTGGTTGAATTGTATTGATCCACTTGTAATCTCTTGGATCCCCGACATAGTCAAAGTGGAAGTAGACTCCAGCATTTCCAGAACGATTGCGCTCCGTGTCGAGAGGTAGGCGACGAATATTGCCCCAGTTGTCGTCGGCCCAGAGGAGGGTAACATCATCCGGCACGGTCATACCAGCCTCGTAATATCCTTGAACTTCCTTATACAAACACCACATTTGAGGCACTTTCGTCACATTATCGGCCCCGTAAACATCAGCAATGATATTTCGTTGGGTGGTTACGATGTCTTCGAGAAGCTCGGTTTGGATGGTTGCTCCGAGAGCTGTGTCGCCTGAACCACGCATACCAACGGTGAGGACACCCTCGTATGGCTTCGCCCGCACTGCACCATCGCGCATAAATGGTATGATTGAAGCGTTGTTCGTATTCCATTGCCAAGGTCCATTCCCGAACAGACTCCATTCCTTGGTAGCTCGCATCATCGGCTCGGTATGACTTGTTCCCATGACGATGCCCATCTCATCAGCCAAGGGCTGATTGCGCGGGTCATCAACAAAGAAGGTTTGGCCCCAGTCGGCGCCTGCGGGCCAAATGTAATTGGCACGGAGCCGGAGCAATAACTCAAAGACAGTGGCATAGAAGTCAGCATTGTACCCCGGCCCGTACTTGGCAGGCGGGTACTTGGCGTTGATCCAGCCTGTCAAGGCTGGCGCTTCGTCATTGAGGAAGAAGCCTCTGTACTTGACCGACGGCGACGGCTGAGTCTTGTTGACGTTCAAAGCATAGATAGCAGAGTGAGACTTAGAAGGCACATCGGCCCACCAGTACCACGGAGATACGCCAATCTGTTCCGATATGTCGTAGAGACCATATATGGTACCTCGCTTGTCGTTTCCTTGCGAACAAGTCAGGCACAAGCATATCCTGGTGAAGGGGTCTACTCACCAGCAATGACGAGAGCCTTCTCAACGCCGGCCACCGGCGAGCTGACGATCTGAGAAGTGAATGCTTCCCACTGCCCCTGTATGGCGGTAACATCAATCTTGCCAGCACTGATCAAATTGTCGATCAACTTCGACTTGCCGATGGTGCCAGCAATGATGATTCCAGCAGCCGCTGTGCCATTCGAGCTCCTCGGCAGACACGATGCTCCCCCAGCCGTCGCAGTGCCATTGAGTCCCGTAACCCGGCCGAAATCGGTAGCAAGGTCTTTGGCAACTTTCTTAACGCCTTTCCAGTCACTGCCATCTACCAGGACTCTGACTGCACTGGACTTGTCGCCCAGGAGATAGCTTCCTGTCGAGGGCTCGAAGGCAATTGTCGCATTCTGACCAATCGCAGCAACGGCGTTCACTGTCACAAGGACAGTAACAAGAAGCGACGCGATGCGAGCCATTGTCGGTAGCCCGCAAGTGATGTCGTGGTCAATGAGGCCGGACGCGTCTGCTTGCCAGCATGATCTTATCCGCGACAGCGCGAGAACTACAGCCCATATATGTCAATTGCAGATAATTAGCCTCAACCTCAGTAAAGCTGTATGTACTCTGTCTTCCCCACCCGCTCCGGGCCTGATTGCTCGTTTTCCGACATCATCTTGCAGGCCATGCGCTGTGCACGCTACGGGACGCGGGCCCGATATTGCTCATGCCCCAACTCACCAGTCCCTCGGGTTCGCCACAAGAGAGCATCGCTGCCTACCACTGGCGGAGGAACCAGGGGCGCTCCTCTGCCGGCTAAAATGTACTGGATATCTCGGAAGAATTGGGCGGTGGTGTTGGCGGCGGGGCGTGAGGAGTTAATTGCTACTCTGCTCCACGGAGTTGGGGGAGGCTTCTCCGCACGCCTAGCCGGGTAGAGAAGAATCTGGGGAGCAGATGGAGGATACCCCTTGCAGCTTTCATCCATCCCTCGAGCCGGGCTGTATTTATTTTCGGGTGCGGTGTGCACCTCGCAATGCAATGATGATTACGGGTTTTGGTGGAGGCTCTTCACCGTCGAGCTAGCCCAGAGTTACTTGGTTGGTTAGTAAGTACTTGTAAGTTGTGATCTTGCAAGCCGGCGGTCTAGTTCGAATGTGTGTTTTCCGATCTTTAGCTTCAACGTCCCACAAACGGTTACTTCACCCAGCCAATAAGTCAGGGTGCTGACGGGTACTTACATGTGCTTGGCGGGTGATGCCGTGAGACCATTGACGGTTAAATGGAATGCCGAGTTATCCACTGAACAGTAACCGAAGTTCCCCATCGATATGGCGAGATATTTCTGGCGAGTTCCCCATTTTTTGACATCTCGTAGTGAAAAGAGACCCCAGACAACAAGGCAAATCGGCAAGACTTTGCTGGTTAGTATCTAATGGGTGTGCTGGTGATACCGTGGCGTTTGACCAGGGTCTTCAACTTATCATTACAGGCTTCAATTGACTAAAGAGGAGCGGGGTCTACCCTTTGTTTTGATTTTCAAGCGATCATTTGCTGTTGAATGTCTCGATGGCCTGACGGGGGCAAGACAAGGCCCAAGTTGGGCAAGATGGGATTCGATGAGCTTCGGTTCACTGGTCTGTGCACTGAAGCCCCTATTCCACCACGTCATAGCTTTTGTCGCATCTTGACGCGTTCTCTAACACGCGCCCGCAAGTCAATATTTTAATCGAAACGCCCCATCATGCTCCGTTCCATTCTGTCATGTTGCTTTGTCTCCTGAGTGCAAACCAACCCAATTGACTCTACAACACTTGAGACATTCATTCCAACCATTACCGAAATGCCTCCCAAGCGTACAGCACCCTCCACAGCCGCAAATCAGGCTAAAAAGGCCAAGACCGGAGCTGACCCTAAAGCTCCTCCGAGGAGCAAGCGCTGGTCAGCCGTCTCCGGCTCCGCCAATGCAGACGCCGAATATAGACAGATTGCTTCAAAGAACCCCGATGAGTTCTTCTCTTTCATGTGCACTTGCCCGCCTCGTTTTGCCGGCGGGAATGATGGCGACGATGACAGCGAAGACGAAGAAAACGAGGACGAGGACGATGATGACGAGAACGAAAACGAAGGTGCTGGCCGTAGCGGTGGCTGCGGCCGTCCCAACTGCAAGTGCCATAAACCCGCAAGCGAGCATCCTGACCACCCATGGATCATTACGAAAGCCGGATACCGCAAGTTGTTGACAATGCAGATCCTCGTTACGCTCCGAGACCCTGATAATTTCTCCATGTACACATATAACGATCATGCTGCATATGGAGCCATGGAGGTGGTGGAGAATATGATACTTGACTTCGTAGAAGGCGCTCATAGTTGGAAGGAGCAGTGGATTGTGTGCGAAGCCCTGGCGCAATTTATACTTCGCGAAATTGGCCCATTCGTGATGTTCGTTCTCATGCTAAGTCCACATTTTATGTTCTACATGCTAACAGTCTCTCTTCAGGATCGACGACGGTGAACGAGTTGCTGTCATGGTTCGTCTTCTCGGCACCATGTTTCTCACCATGCTTGCTCGCCTAGAACGCGAGAACCTTCTAGCCGAAGGGTCCGAGGTTAAGGACCTAGGCGTCGTTATGGCGCTATGGGTGAAAATTGCCTCTAACATGCGCCGTGACGACATCCTGGATGACGACCGAGAAGATGAGGCTGGATCAAAAGCGCAAGGCCTGACCTTCAACGCTTCTGAATTTGACAATTATATTCTTGCCTACGCAGACAAGTTTGGCATTCCTTTGAAAGGTCCCAAGGACATCGAGGAGCTGCTGTCGCAGTGCGATGGCGGCATCAGCTTGCCCGCAGGCACCGACAAAAAGAATGACCCCTGGGGATGGGCGGCAGCACTGAAAAAATACGAAAGTGACTACGGAACAGGCCGTGCTGGTAAGCCCAAGATTGGGGGGGATCAACTGGATATCACCACGTGGACCAGCGCCCAGCGAAAGGAGGCGAGCTTCGATAACAAAGATCCACTAGCAAAAAAAGACATCGAAGCAATCAAGAAGGGAATGGTAATCCAGCTCGCATGAAAGCGAGGTGTTGTTACATCATCGTTGCGATTCATTATTTGTATTCTCACATGGCTGGGAGTTTGAAGGGTTTGAAGGATCACTAAAGTTAATTCTAGATGCTACATTCGCTAGGACAAATTTCTCGTGGAAGTAATAATACGAATGTGTAGACTTCGTCAAAAAATTGACCGAATCTCAGCTCGCTGTTCCTTGTAGCTCCAACCTCCTATCCTTCACGTGCGTGACCTTTTTATGTGACGCACCCCTAACTTGATTGGACTAGTGTATAACTCTCCCGAGTTACTTCCTCGCTCCGTATGTACTTCTCAATGTGACGGATCGAGCTTTAACGGCGCTTTTTGTGCCAGTCCTGACTTTGGATGCCTTACTCGCCTAGTTGATGACAAAATACCATAGTTTAGACGATCCAGAACCAGATTCGTTCCAAAAAGTTTCTAGGGACTCTTGTCGGCCACACCTCGGCATCTAGTGCCGCTTTGCCAGACCAGAGATCCGCGGATGCTGGCCTGATGAGAGATGTTCGTTTGTAGATTTTCCAGAATATATATAAACCAAAGTAGATCGGTATTCCAACGTAATCTGCGATGAACGTCTGGGCAGACCATCGGCCCTTAGTAAAGACCTCCCATCCATTGAACAAGATGATCACGGAAAAAAAGCACAGGGCAAACCATGCAGCATATGGTTGGAATGGCGACCTGTAATGAAGAGTCTTGCGATCAACGTTTTGGACCGCCAAGGCTTGTCGGAAACGCAGGTATGCAATGATGATGCTGACCCATGTGAAGAGCACAGCAACAGTGCCCAAGCTAAGGAAATAATTAAAGGCTTTATTCGCCCCTGCAGATACGGACATATAAGCCAGGCCGCTCCAAATAGAAGTGAAGGCAATGCCGTAGATTGGAATTCCACCTTTGGTGCACTTGAGGAAAATTCGAGGGGCTTGTCTGTTCTGAGCAAGGCCAAAGAGGTATCGTGAGCCCACAAACACGAAAGCGTTGGCAGAGGAAGACGCCGAGCTCAGGATGACTGCATTTATAATATGAGGGAGAACGGGAATGTTCGCGTTATGAGCAGCAATAACCCATGGTGAGGCGCTACCCAGCCGCTCGTCGTCGCTCGGGACAAGCACGCTAATGGCGAGGGATCCAAGAACGTAGAATATCACAATCCGCCAGATGAGCCGTTTAATAGCTCGGGGAACATTCTTGCGGGGGTCGGCAGCTTCACCTGCCGCTGTTGCAACCATTTCGACACCACCATAAGAGAATGCTGCATACGTGAGGGTCGAGAACATGGCAAAGAAGCGTCCAGTATCACCAGTCGCCACAACTTCCTTCATCACTGGTCCAGGATTATACCAGTAACGGAATCCAAGACGATCGCCGGTAGGGCTACCCCCAAGGTCCACAATGAAAGACATAAGCAAGAGACCAAGAATTGCCAAAATCTTTATGGCCGCAAAGATGAACTCCGCTTCACCATAGATAGAAACTGCAAAGATGTTCAGGGCCACAACAAGTACGATGAGAATGCTGATCCACACGGCGGGGCTGATGTCATCGTTCCAAAATTGTATTAAAACAGCGGCGGCAGAAATATCAGCACAGATGGCAAGTGCGGATAAGTACCAGATATTCCAACCAACTGCGAATCCCATTGCAGGATCGACATAGCGGGCACAATATTGTGGTATTGCTCCAGGAAGTGGCAACCAGGTTGTCATCTCTCCAAGGCAGGTCATCATTGCGTAGACGGCAACACCGGTTATTGAGAATCCCAGGACCACCGGGAGAGGGCCTGCTTTCAGGAAGGCTCCGCCGATACCGAGAAATAGACTGACGGGCTTTGGTTAGCCAATAGTCACTACAATAGCTCCCTCATTCATTCAAAGAACGTATAGAAGGCTACTCCTCCTAGAAACTTACCCAGTTCCGATTGTTCCTCCTAGTGCAATGAACTGGAGGTGGCGGGATTTGAGACTATCACGTATTTAGCAAGTTGTTTGAGTCAATGCCACGATTCTGTCGATACACGTACCCTCTTTGAACATATCCGAGCTCTTGGGCAATTGCAACTCCATAGATCTCCGCTGCCTCTTGAAAAGCTGCGTTAGTTCGCTTCTGTTTCCCGATTTGGATGCCTGAGCTGTCATCGGGTAGGTTGTTATCCACGGTGATATCGTTCTCCTTTTCAGCTACCATTTTCATCTATTGAGAGACAACAACAACAAGAGGTTCTAAAGTAGAGCTGTCGACAGACAATTGGATCGATTCCACAAGAGTCAAATGGTTAAGATTCGAAAAGCAATATGCGGCATGTGGATTACACAGGACAGCGCAGACGGGGTTCACCGGCTGTCGGCGGATGACTACAGCTTGCTAAGGTTGGGACCACAAAGAGCAGGCCAATCGCAACTTTTGATAACGAGGCACAAGGTCACATTCGGAACGGGTATGCATATGATAACATCGAAGTTTGAACTTCCTTTTCCGGAGCTGGTGTTTATTTCAGCCAATTGTATTAAGTAGAGTTCGAAGGAGTCAGCGATCGCCGGGCAGGCTTGCCAAAGCCAATCATAATGCACCAATGTTCCCGTCACATACCCCTTTGGGTGGACTTATAACAGCTGCTTGCAGTACTGGAGTAATATTCTGATAGTCCAGATTTCTCTACTTCTATGCTCATTTTCCTAGGAAGACAAGCTTCACAGCTACCTTTCAGGCAGGAACAAGCAAAATCTTGATAGAAGACTACTGTCTTTTCTTCGTCAATGATGATCAAGCTAGCCAATTACATGAATGTTTATAGTCTGAATTAGAACTTCGAGTATCTATTTAGTACAGAGGACACAGTATTTCATGATGATATTCGTTTTGTGGACTTCAAAGTCCCTCTACGGCACAATCATGAACCCAAATCCCGAATCAACAAGGCCGAAAACACTTGGCGCTGGGCCATCTCGTCTTTTAGTCTATACAAATCCCACAATATTTGGCTACTTAGCAGAACAGATGGTTTCGCCAGCTAAGATTAACATACGTTCCCATGTACGAGCCTATATAGTCTGTATTTCAAATGGTATCAATGTAAATCAAAATGCGACAGCTGTGCTGCTTTTGCCCTTGGAGGGAGGTCGGAAAATCTCAGATTTCGCCCGCCAGCAGAACATCAAAATGTATTTGGATGATGCTTGGATTCGTGATGAAGTTTATGCTGGAGCTGATACTCTTACTGGCTTCTGTCAAGTGTTTGATGCCGTGACCAAGTGCTTTTCAAATGGCTGGGTGCTCCAATTAGAAGTAGGTTACTTCGCAGCAAGGACTAATTGATCGTGCAAGGTGAATTTGAAAGGGCATCGGAGGAGGAATTTACCAAAGTGGTATACTCGCAGCTATGGCGCATACAGTCCCTGAGGACTCATTTGGTAATGGGGCTGATGGTAAGGACTCTGTATTGGCCGAGTCCAATCAAAACGCTCAACGAGCAGCAGATCTTTGGCCTTGACGCAAGGTAAATTGTTGGCTGTAACAGCAACTGACATGGTATCTCTGGAATTTGAGGACGCATATATAATTCGCGGGTTGGTGAGACGGCATACGAACATGACTTATCATGGGCGGGCAGTGACTCGTCGTCCACTATCGCACGTTTCGCCTCACATCTTCGAAAGCTGGTTTTCATTGGCTTGATAGGGATATCCGAAGAACCTATCTATCGAGTCGAGGAACTATGTATTGCACATTGCGGCCCAAAATGGATGAAGATGAAGTGGAAACAGCTGAAAAGTCGGGTTTCAGAGAGAACTATAAGCTGAAATACGACTGATCTAGCTGAAAATCGTACAACTCGCGATTATGCTGAAGAATAGATAGTAGTCTGCTGGTGCTGTAATGCAAAGAATCTCTCCTATCTTCAATTTTCACAGCATGCACAGAATACCTCTTGGTTTCAATTCTTGAAAGATCGTGAGAGTGGGCTTTATTCAGACTCGTCGCGGCAGCATCTGTGTTTTGGTCATGTCCTCTAACACACAAGTTATCAAGACACAGGAAGCATGAAAAAGTTCCCAATAGTAAATTGGGGTATTAATCGAAGTGGCTAGCAACGTGATGGGCGACGGCAGCTTCGTCGCCGGTGAAAGATCCACACACCGGACAAGTCACCATCTCCGAATTTTCGGCCGAGCTTGTGGTGGCCTCATTTGAAGTCGGTTCAGGTGCTTCTTCTGTCGCAGATCTCCTAGCACCTTTCCCGCGGGGTTTCTTTTGCTTGACATAAGCATCTAAACCAATCTGTTGCGCAGGGGGCTCCTCTGGCTCTGAGCGGTTTTGGCCACGATGCTGTCCTCTGCGTCCTCTGGGTGTGAAACTCGTTTCGGATTCTGGAGGAACACCTGCCTCTGCCGCTTCCTCGGAACTTTGACCATCGGAAGCTGCGAGTGTCTGGACACGCCCAATCCTGCCATCGACGAGGCGCACTTTGATGCCCCTGTGATGATAGCCCCTTGTCAGAACATCTTTGACAGTCCCAGACACGGTTCGTCCTGTGGGCTGGTCGGCTTTTAGGACGATGTTGACCCGCGCGCCGGGGACGACATCCCTGGTCGTCGGGACTCGAGAATGTGCCGATGAGGCTGTGCGACTCATGGCCGGTGAACAAGTGTCAAAGCAACGAACATGGCAGCAGGGTTTCAGTGTGGGCCGTTGTGTGACGACCAAAATAGAAGCGAAATTTTGGCTTTGGCGGGGTTGTAACCTGGTCGCGTAGATGCATACGAGTAGCGCTGAAGTGCCCTGAGATTATGCATGTTCAGAGGGAGTTCGGCTCTTCACCTTTTCCGGTTCTTCTCACGTGTGGGTGTGTGCGAGATACGAATTAGCGAAAACCTAAATGCGACCCCCCTGGCGACGTCTCATCAGCCTCAACTCGAGTCTTCCCTGTTGTTACTGCTGCTGCCCTTCATTAAACCGTTAAATCCTTCTGCGTCGGCTCGCGTGTCTCACCCCGACAAATTCTATTACTCAGGGGCTCAATTTGTCGCGCGCAGGTGGCTCGATGTGGTTTGCAGCCGAAATGATGCGGTCAGGGGCTTGATCCTTCTGCGGTTTTTAAATGGTTGCCTGAAGATCGACATTGGCACCGACGTGTGTGTGCTTCCCCAAGGAGTGCAGCAGCCGTTGACGCCCGTCAATAACAGGGTAGAAAAGGCTCGGTGCAGGACTTCTGTGCATTGAACTGGCTCATACATAGCATCAGTAGGCCTTGAACGAATGCCGTCGCAACTAATGTGATCGATATTGGGTACGGCGCAGCTCTGCGCCGCAGCCTCACGCGGGTCACACTCAGTGACCCAAGCGGCAGCCGCCTCCTCGTTTCTTGTAGGACTGGGGACCCCCTTGACGATATTCCTCACCGTGTTCCACACTGGCGCGCCGCCATGGATGTGCCCAGTCGAAAGTCAGTGCATCCATGGTGGGGGAGTCTGTCGACTTCTTTTCAGCTGGATGCAGACTTTGGCAAATTGCAGACGCCCAACTCTTGGATAGGTGAGTTCTGGCCAACCATGGCCTCTCTTTTTCGTATGGCAGTCTGGGCCAAGCAAGCTCTCAATATGCCATCCCCAGTTTGATCCGGTTGAGCCTTGCCAAGGCCACTAGTGTCTCACACGCAATGAAGCCACCCAGTGCATCGGGCTTGAGCTTTTCATTCAGTGCTCTGTAAGCTTGAAGAGATCGTATTTGCGCGGTTTGGTGGTCGAGGTTCAAGAAAAGCTCCGGATACCAACCTAACGTCTCAATGGAGTTGTCTTCGTGATGGAAAATCCTTGCGACTGGTGTTGTTGAGCTTGGTTCATCACAAAGGGTCAGGTTAGAGATCTGACGGGTCGGCCAGGAGGATCAAGCCCATGCGAATGCAGGCGGATGCCCCTAATTGTATCAACATGGTGACAAAGCCCAACGGGGTGTGGCTTGCACATAGACCCTAGGTCAGGCTCTTGTGTGGGCTTGGCTGCATATTGCGACCAAGCAGCCTGTCGTGCTCATATAACTCGATCCGTGTGCCCTCAACATAGGTATTTCCACGAGTTCTGGGCTGATCGCGTTCTATTTCGTCGGGTTCGTTGTTGCTGCGCGATCCAGCCTTCTGTCGACACCGATATACCAACAAGCGCGCAGCTCCACGGAGGAGGAAAGGAACAGAAAAGATGGGGGAAACAGATGCGGTAACAATTACACAGACCCGCCAGGCGCACGATGGTACTGCTCCGGCCGGCCCATTGACGACCGTCTTCACACCAACGGGATCATGCACTTCGACAGAGTCTCTATATTGGTGGTCCACGTGTATGCCTCCGCGATGGAATCTCTACGGTAAGCAACTTTTGGAGTTCATTTCCACCTCTCTTGTATGCAAAGATATGGTCCCAAGCTGGAAAGTTACTCCCGAGACGTGTCAATTCAATATTTCCCTACCCTCAATATCCTTAGAAGGCAATTGCTGATACCAGATGTTGTAGATGGTGCGGCCTCGTATTATTCGCCCGCTGTATGTCCTTCTGGTATGGAGAGCGCTGCGTCACCACCGTCTGGTTATGGGCCTCCAGTTGAGTCCACTGAAGCCGCTATTGTTTGTTGTCCTTTGTAAGATACAACTGCCAAATGCCCCTTGAGTGTGTATGATCTAAATCATCGAAGCTCTTACTCTTTCGCCGATTACTCAAGTTACTTCTACTGTGAATCGGAGTATCAAACAACCACAACAGAATATGATTACTACTACGACTCGAGTGCCGGCGAGTATTCGACCACATCGTCAATATCATACCTGACAAGTACGACGCGGACAAAATATGCTGTCCAAGTGCGTTGGGCAGCTGCTGACGAGTCAAACCTTCCCTCCGGCGCATATCCCACAGGATTGGTGGCAGCAGTGTCAGCGGCTAGCGCTTCGTTAAGCTCATCCGGAGGTCCTGGTCCGTCAAATTCAACAACACCAGTCCCCACGGGCAAATCGCACAGCGGTCTCAGTGCTGGTGCAGCAGCCGGAATTGGTGTCAGCGTTGGAATTGTTCTCATTGCTCTGATGGGTCTCGGTCTTTTCCTATTCATGCGACGCGCCAAGAGAAAGCAGTCCGCGAACCAGGGGACAAATACGATGCCACCACAAGATGCCACCGCATACAGTGCAATGATGCCCGTGG